TATATATATATATATATATAAAGTAACTAAGATACATACAATTCTAGTTGTACTCTTCTATTGTAACTTAATGGTGGAAAGCAACTTGAAAAGGCTAATGGTCAATAACAAAGATTAGACTTATAAGGTGTGTATCTCTTAATACTCGTGTTCTTTAAAAGTGATGTGTTTTTCTAAATGGATACTCCCTCATTTAAATTTTCAATAATTCTAAAATTTACACTCATTTAAATCTTTCAATATAATCATTACAATTTTACTTTAATATTATCCTTAATAACTACTTATACTAATCTAGATTACCCCATTGTTAGTCACAAATCAATTAGGTGAGATTAATCTTCAGTATATTATATATTCATAAAAATGTGTATTATGAAAAATATGTTTGTTTGTACTGTTTTCTTCTCTTTTATATGTATATTCTCAATAAGTTTATGATTATCGAGGAGTATGATGCCTGTCTAGTTAGAATGAATTATGATATTTTTTATAAAAAAAGTAGATAAAAGTGTAAGAACATTTTAATAAAAAATTATTTACTAAACAGTTTATTACTTTTCTCAATATGTGTAAACTCAAATAAATTCAAAGTTACAACTCAAAAGAACCAAAATGTGTTTTCTTAAACTGTCTGGTTTCAAATGTGTTCTCTTTCCAGTTTGTAATTTGTGTTTAAAAAATAATATTGATATGGGCAGAAATGATATTGTAGAAATATCGAAACTTAAAGTATGGCAACTAAAGGGAAAACAAGGTACTGTTAGAAATAAAGTATTTATGATTTTGAAATATCTTTTACTTTATTAATTTCATACTTTATGAAAAAAAATTGTTAAATAAATTCATTTTTTCTGTTGTCTTCACACCAAGGCATGTAATTACACGTAGGTTCTAATTATTTAAAAAAACTATCTTTGCAAAAATATATACATTTTGAAATTTTTTCCTAAAGATCCGGTATCCGTACACAACAGAGCAGGTTTTTACCTGGTTATACTTCAAATCAAACTAAGATCAAAACATACGAATGTAAATATGCAGCTCATATTCCAAAGACTGACCTACATATGCACAAAACGTACATACAAGATAAGATAGTGTGCACATGTCTGCCAAAACTTTTTTCATAAATTACTTAGAAGAAAAAAAATAGTTTTTTTTTTTAATTTATCCATTATTAATTAAAACTTTCTGAAAGTTATCCATTTTTAGTTGTTTATCTCTCAAACTTGTTTCTGAAAAAAATTATACAAATAAGCTCCACATATTTTTTGTCATCATGGGTAGAAAAATAAGCTATTAATAATAAATGTATGAGCACAATTGTGTTGGAATATTTGGTGTTAAGTTTCTATAAACAGTTAACACTACTAATTTTATACTCACTTAGAAGAGCAGATAAAGTTAACACATTCTTCTCAAATTAATTTGAACCTGATTATATTATGAATTACTCACTATCTTTTAAAATATTCTCCCCATAATTCCATTCAACTTCTTAACAACCAAAACCCTAGCCATCATAATCAAAGACATTACAAGCTAAAACATTATACATGAAATTAATTTAGCTTTAAACATTTCATGTTCATGTATTATTTGTCTTTAAACAAGCATAATGTATCACAGCTTGGATAAATTTAATCTAATTTCCCCCATGCCTTTTCATACATTCGTAATGCAAAGAAAGTCTGAAAATTTTATATATTATGTAAAAGGGTATAAGTATCTTTTTTGTTACGAATATACTGTATTTAGGTAAATTTATTGGTTGGTTTATCTAGAGTTCTAAGTAGACAGGTTAATAAACATGCATGATGGAAATTAAAGAATTTTCACTTGAATAGGATTATGGCAAAGAATATATTATATTTTTTACCCAAAAACAAGAGAAGAATTACTAGGAAGTAATGAAGATGGAAAAGTTAATGAAATGACATGCACAGGATACAAATTAAGGTTGTTAAGACAAAAGGAAATATCATAGTTATTTGTGTAGCTAAGAACATATCAAATTCAAAAAAACAAAAAGGTTGTCTCATATACTATTATACGATAAACTGTTCTCTTCAAGTGAATATTAAATTTTAAAGGGATAAAAAGAGGTGAAAAAACAGGTACAAATGAATATGTTAAAAGAAAAACTGGAATATATATAGTAAAAAATACAAAAAAAAATATTGACTAGGAAATGGATTAAGATATTTTGCCACATGCAAAGAAAGCTATTGGAAGCATAAAGTAAGGCTATTAGATAGCAGGGTTTTAGCTATACAAAAGGAGAAAAAAAAAAGAATATTGGAGAAAAATATCAATAGGGATTGCATGATGAATAATACTTGAAGTATTTGATTTTTATTTAGTTAAGTTCACTAAAGTCATACAATTCTATTAATTTCATTAATTGATATAAGACTGGTATTATCACAATTATCTGGGTTTCCATGATTACGTTGACAATTTTCAAACTTATTTACAGCTAGTTGTATAATGATGATTGGAATATACCTTATCTTGAACTTTAATAATATTCTTCTTTGCTTATAAAAGAAAAATAAAATTTATATAAAAATCATAATTGAAAGCAAACTTAGGTGAGTAAATGAGAAATTCTTGATATTCAGCTCAAACTCAACAAGTGGCAGCAACACACCAAAAGGAAAAGGTAATAAAAATTTGCACAAACGACAATAGTCACAACAAAAACCCTAGCAGCTCGTCATCAACCACGGTTAAAATACTCAAAAGGCGAAATTCAAATGCCAAGAAAGCCATCATCATAAATTCCAAATTCAGGTCACAGATTGATTACAGTTAACATTTTAAGGATTTATTTAATAAAAAATTGGTTCCATACACCACAAAACAATTGCCACAAGCAGCCAACAAATAAGTTCTTAAGCTGTTGTACTAAAAGAAAAAGAAAAGAAACACACTTCTCTCGGTAATATAAAAGAATGAGGCTACTAAGAACTTGTTCAGTATATAGAAGTAGTAGTACTTGTGTTGAAAACATGTCATTTGACAGTTCACGTGAGGGGAAACCAACTTGTTTAGCAGCACAATACAAGTTCTTTCAGTTAATGATGCATAAAAAACATACAAGTTGATATTAACATTCAAAAACATTAATCACTTTAAGCCAAATATAAAGAATCAAAGCAAGTAAAAGTATATTGGTGTATATAAAATTTGTACTGCTGAACTTCGAAAAGATTCTGATAATTCAGGTTCTCAGATAACACTGCAACTTTAAAGAAAAATTGTATCACATCATGCTTCAAGCATTCAATCGAATGGTTGGAATAATCCTACAAACATACAATGGTACATTACTTGTAATAAAATATTTTCGATTGTACTTTTTATGCTACTCGACAAGAAAGAGAAAAGGAAAAAAGGAAAAGAAGATGTACTGATAGATAAGGTTTTGAAGTTATGTTTGGAGAAACCAAACCATTCTCATGTCGTACTTAGTTACTAACTGTGGTTATTAAACAAATAGATGAGACCAAATTAAATAACAACTTGCAGATTCAACTATGATCTAGAAATTCTTACCATGTTAATAATGAAAACATAAACAACCTCGTAAGGAGGTTTAGTGTGCCCCTACTTGTATCGGAAACTGTGGTGATACACTGCCCATTATTTCATGGAACTTCACAAGCTCCTTGCTAATGGAGTTTTCCTTTTCCTTTTTTTTTGGCAAGTTGTATCAGTTGAACGAATTGCCCACTTAGTTTAGTCATATGAGAGGTCTGAATCATGAGACATTATATTTCCCCGCCCACAAATAATATTAATTTATTAATGCAGGAAGACATTACTGGAGTCATATAATCATAGTCATGTAGTGCATGTCATTATATAGTCCTTTCACTTTCAATTATATCTCTCCCAAGAAATTTGATGTCAGTATTTTAGTACATACGATACTGTGCTCTATAACCTGCATGCATGTGATGGCTCTTTTTCCATTATTGAAGGAAATAGTACAGCTCCTCTCAATTTTTCCCTACACTCTAAACTCACCCTTTATTCAATTACAATGTAGCCTAATACAAGATATCATAACGAGACTTTGACACCACTTTGAATTATGCAACACGCATGTGACTATGATCTAACGTACGAGAAATGAAAAATGAGGTAAGGAAAAATGTAAGTGGAAAATGGGGTGTCAAAAGATTCCTATAGAGGAAGCAACGCTTGAAAAAGTTAGTAGACATATCTTATCCCCCCAAAACGCAAGAGTTGTGAAATTTTAAATGGTGCTCAAATCCAAAAAGCCAAGTTTCATAAGTGAGAGAAAGTTAGAATTAGGTTCAATGCAGAAGTACTTTGAAACACTTTGGTGATTTGTATCGCTAATCTTTGTCAGAACTTGTGCTTGTGCTTAAGTTAAGATTAGCACTTCACATCAGTACGAAAATGTAGCTTATCAGAGAAAGAAAAATTAGAACACCAAGCAACCAAGTCATTTAATGTCATTTAATGTCATCAGATATTGAGGTGTTTCCCTAAATCACTTAAACTCTTGAATCTAAAAACAAAACCTTTTTCTGTTGCTCAGCTCCTTGAAGCCCCAAAAGCAAAGGCTTCAAACAAAACTCAGTAGGTGCTATCTAAGGTCAGCATACAAAACTGAGTTAAACTAAAATAGCTCCTTAGCCCGTATCTCTTATCCACCATTATATTTCTGTGATTATGATGAAGATCTTGAGAACAAGATGAAGGAGAAACACATTCATATATGTATATACACGATTTCTACTTGCTACAAATTTGGAAGGAACCTTTGCATGAAGAGGGAAAAAAAATACCATATTTAGCAAATACAGCACAATCACACAAAGCAGCAATTTATGACAGAAAGCACAGAAAAAAGAACTGTTACGAGTATCCATATGTTGTATACATACCTGGAGCTTGCAAACTCATAAAGCTTTCCTCTTGGAGAGAAAATGATGAGAGCAACCTCAGCATCACAAAGAACAGAAAGTTCAAAGGCCTTCTTCAGCAACCCATTGCGCCGCTTGGAGAAGGTAACTTGCCTGCTTGTGGCGTTCTCTATGCGCCTCATTTGAGTCTTTCCTCTCACCATCTCTACACAGCTCTGATGTGGGAATCAGCAACAAAAAGAGAGAAGAAGAAAAAGGGAAAAGAACTATGTAAGAAAAACGCCTTCGTTTTCCACAAAAAACTGAAAAAAGTACACTACTGTAGTATCTCAAAGGAGTTCTCACCAAGTAAAACAAACCCAGAAACTATGCTTTCTCCTACGAGAGGTTTCCACCAAAATTGAGCCTTCTCCTAGCAAGATTTGAAAACCCAGAAAAGCTGAAACTCAGAAGATTCCAACAGACGAGAATCACACATCAAAGGCCAAAAATAGTGTTATTCATGACTTGTAGGAGGATAAATGAAATTGAGGCCTGAAAACAAGCAGAAGAATAACCGAAGACAACAGAGCCCAGATATGCAGATTTTAAGGAAACAGCAAAGTAAAAGTAAATGTACATGAGTTCCGAAAAAGGATCTAGACAAGAAGAACCATATATCCGAGAGATTGGATTTTCTGTAGATGAAAAAAAAATATGTGATTGATGGATAATTGATTATTCTTACCGGTTAGAAAAAGGAAGTTGAAATTGTAGTTGTTGTTTCTCAATAAGCCATGAGGAGGGTTTTGTCAAAAGGGAATCAGATTTGCACCGAATTAGCAAAATCTGTAAATGTTTTTGAGCAGTGAAGAGAGAATAAGGCACAGAAAAGGGAAGAAAACTAAGAGGGGTAAGTGTGAGAGAGAAGGAAAAGAAAGAAAGTCCCAAAAGAGAGGTAGCAAGAAGTGCAGAGAAACACAGAAAAAAGTGGAAGCACGCACATAGACTAATCAGACCAAGCTTTCCTTATTCATCCACCTATTCCCCCATTGGTTCCCCGAGCCCCACCATATTAAGAAACAAAATGTTTTATTATAATAGAAAATTGGAACCTCATCCTTTTCTTGATTTGGTAAAAACCAAGTCCAGCGTCCAAAACAGAAACGTTTTAGTGTCAAAGGTATGGAGAAATACTAAAAATCTTAAAATGATGCCCCCAAAATGAACCTATAATATAATAATATAAAGGGAAAGGGAATCAAAACCTCATAAAATATTATCTGTAAACTTTTTAGGAAATGGAAAACGAAAATGAAAGGAGAGAGAAAGAGAGAAAGAGTGTGGGACCGCAGCTGCAGAAGTGCATGAAGTGTGGGACAGGGAACACAGTTAAAAAGTAAGAAAGTAGTACGATGGTAGAAACACATCAACCTCGTCCGTACGATGACGTACATGGCTAGCCAATCACAAACTGAAAACGCATCATCTTGTCATCAAACACTTTATGGTGACTTACTATTTTTAATTATTCTTCTTATTGTTATTCATTGTTAATTCTCATTATTGTTACGTTTTTAGCTACAACTTCATTCTTATTCTATCTACTCTCTCCACTCGTTGACCAATACTTTGCTTTCCTTTATTTTATAAATCTTTTACTCTCATCATTTTATTATTATTCACTTTTATAATTATCTTTGTTTATTTATTTATTTATATATACGTGTGTGTGAAAAAAGTAAAGTATAGTAACGTTTGAACAGGTCAACTGCACGAAATTTCATTATTGTTACTTACTTACATATTGAATTCATTTTGGTTTATTAGTTTATCTGTTAATTAATATTTTAAAATGAAGTATAAATAAATTGGAAGCAAATTATATATGACTAAACTTATGTTTGTAATTTTGAAGACGCAAACGCCATTATTATAGTTTTTGCTTCTGGCAGCATGATTTTGTGGTAAACCAATGAGGCCAATTGGAGTTTGTAACGTAGTTTCAGGTTTTCAGAGGTATTTGTGGACAGAAGGAGAGAATAAACCAAAATATCAGTATTTGCTGAGTGTTTATAAAATCATAAAATGAAGAATATCAAGTTTTAAGTTGCTCAAAAATTGTTTTTAATTATTCAAAACTGACTTATTTACTAAACAAATGTATAAAGAGTAAACATATAATAATGATAATAATAATATCAACAAGCCATCAGATTGAATAGTGATAAACTTTATTTTTTTTTAGTTTTACATTTGAGATTGAGATTAGTCATGTCAAAGCAGATGATATTTAAATTTGTCTTCCCAAAAAAGGCATATCAAACAAAATGATGAACAAATTCAATGTTGTTTTTGTCATCCAGATTTTTAATTACTTGAATGAAATATTTTTTATTTCAAGTTTGTGAAATATGACTCAACCATATTAATACTTTGTTCAAGCATCTGGGTTTTGTTAAATCAAATGGCATGCATGCCACAAATTACATTTATCAAGTCCTGAAACATGAGACTATTAATGTAATTTTCATACGTTGGCTTTTTAAATAATTAAAAAGAAAATAATAATAAATACATCAAATGCATAGCTTTAATGTATTATGATGTTATACGATGTTGTTGCAAATGACAATGTCTTTTCTACCATATTTTATAGGTTGGACCACTTTATGCACAGCAAAAATAACACAAAGAAAAGGAATAAAAACAGAGAAAGAATCATCTCTTCCATATTCATGCAGTCACTCCAATTAGTCCTCCACCACTTGGGTTTTAGGTTTTGTTTCTTTCTGTATTGTTGTTTTCTCTTTTTTTTTTCATTTTTATTTTATTATCTATCTTGTTGCAAATATTTCCTACGTTTAATGTTTTGACAAAGGAAAGTAGAGGATTGAAAAAAATAAAAAAATAAAAAAAATTTAAATATATATGAGTCTCGTAAGTTATTCATATATGAATCGATGCCATCTTACTACATTTATTTTTAATAACATTGATTTTAAAGCAACATATTTTTTATAAAAAATATTTTAAAGTAAAAGTTTTATAAAACGTGCACATCTATAATTTTTGTTTATATTTCAATTTTTCATAATTTAATTATTACGTTAAGATTGAAAATTATTTTTTATAAAATTGATGTTTTAAATTTAATATTTCGCTATCGCCCAATATTAAAAGATGCTATGAGAAATAAACGAGTAGTTGGCAATAAACCACGTAACCTTCTTCTCCTCCTACCATTCATCGTAAAATGGTTACAGTACTTGAAACCATAATTAAACTAAAGGAAATCTAGTATCTTTAATAGTATATTTAAAACTATGTTTATATAAGGCTAAGTAAAAGTAAACACTATTGATGTAATTTTTAGTAAATGTTTTTAATATAGTATTTTAATGGAGATGTAATATTTAGTAAATGTTTTTAAAACAGTGTCTAACCTTGTTATTAAATATGATTGTTTCAAGAATAAGTATAGTATTGTTAAAATGGATAGTCTGATCGAATCCAATTCAGTTTATCACAAGTTGGTCATTCAGTGAATTGATCTAATTCAGTTTATTTATTAACAAGTCGAAAAATTTGAATTTGATTCGACTCACCACGTGTCGGTGGGTTAAACATATTAGCTCAATATCTCACTTAATTACGAGTGTTTTTTAATCTAAAAAAATTGTAATTCAAATTTAAATAAATTTCACTCTAAAATAATGTTAAAGAAAATTTTAAAAAAAAGTATCATACAATTCAAATATAATCCAAAAGCAAGCCAAAAACAATGAACAAATAAGTTTCTAATATTGATAACTTTTGTTTCACTTATTTATTCATAAAATTTGAGTTTTGAATTAACAGCTCTCTTGGAAACATCTTTTTTTATCCCCATCTATAATTCAATAAAAAAAATGTTAAAAAATATAAAATTACAAATAATTAAATTAAATTAGGTGAGTTGGTGAGTCAACCTGACTTATAACGGATTTAACCTAAATAAACCGAATTCTAAACAAACCGAATTAAAAATTAATTCATATAAAAAAATTATTTTTTTCAAACTTAATCTGATCCAAATCGATAATGGACCGCCCGCAGTTTCGAATCATTTTGACAGCGTTAAGAATAACAATAGAAAATAAAAATAAAAATTCAATAAATGTGGCAATTTCTTTTTCCTTTTCATTTTATATGGAAGGGACTAAAAAGTGAAAGGTTCAATGTGTTTTTGAAGTTGGGTATTAATTACGACGTCATCTTGCTTGATTTCTAACATTGTCTCTGCAGAAAGAGTCCAAATTTTCACGTGGCCTCGTACTATTGCCATTTTTTCATTTTATTTTTTATGTTTCTTTTCTAAAGAGTTATTTATTTTCATGCCACTCAATTTTCACGTGGTTTTCGTCCTCACGCACTTAGGAAAAAAAATATTATTTCAAATATATAAACGGATGATAATTTTTTTTAAAATATGATGTAGTCTCTAAAATGTAAAAAATTTAAATTACTCCTTAAAGTTTGCGGTTTAATATCAAATTGATTATTAAAATTAGCACGTAATTACAAATGATCCATAAATTTCAACAATACAGCCATAACACTTTTTATATATTTAAGGATTAAACTTCTTTAAGAACTAAATTACCATTGATTTATTGGGTTTTGTCCCAGCATGGGATAGAGTGATAAACAGATGAAAACAACTTCAATTTAAGTATTCTAAAATGTAAATATATGATCAATACAAGAAAAGCACATACAACTTAAACTTCATCTAAGATGGCATGTTTTCATTATAAGTGTGTTTGTCACAACCATTTTACAGCTTATGAATTACTTTTAGGTTAAAATTAAAACAACTAAAAATATAAATTAAAGCAATCTTCCATTGTCTTTTTTCTTTAAATAACAGGTAAAGTTAAAACCATCCTTAAAACTTACTTTTAACCTTCAATTAATGATGATTTTCATCTGTCAAATTCCATTGATTGTTTTGTTGGATAAATTTTGGAATAAAGAAAATATATTAATGTTGTTTAAGATAAAAAGAAAAAAAAAATCTGAACTTTCACCAAACCAAATGAATCTATACATTAATAGAACAAACAACAATTCCCATTCTCCACTTAATCGTCATCATCAACTACTGTCTTACTCGGCCACAAATTTTGAAAATGTTTGCAATGATTGTGTTTCATTGTTTTATTTGAGTGGCTGAGTCATGAAAGATAGAAAATAAGTAACAAATATGAATAATAACGTAACATCTCTTTATGTTAATTATTTTTAAGTTTTTTATTTAAATATGTTTTATAAGAAAATTGATCAATTATAAAAAAAAAGTTTTCTAAAAATTAAACGATAATTTTGAAGTATGAATTAGTTCCTTGAGTTATCTATGATCACAACCTTATAAATCATTAAATTAGACTATAAATTTTACATAATACTATTAAAATAAAGTTATGCAGCATGACTGATGAGATTTATAATTTGAAGTTTATGTTAAAAGAAATAATTATCACATTTTAGTATAAAAATTAAATCTAGAGATATTTTGTTATCTTGGTAAAAATTTTATTCTTGTTTCATTAAGGATACATTGGGACGAAATTTTTGTTCCAAGTTCATAACAAAGTACTTTATTTTAACGGTATGGATTTCAATTTAGATGTTTGTGGTTAGAGAAAAATCGAAGTTTGAACAAGTATCACCTATTTCTTGTTTCGAGTTACTTCAATAACAATTCGATTTCAACTTCTTTAACTGTTAGATCGAACTTAAAATTTTACAGCATGTTCTTAAGATAATATTCTTCACTTTGATAGTTTATATTTATATTTAGAAATATGTAATAAGAAATATATTTTTGCCCGTGAGATAAAAAATAATTTTTCTAAAAAGTCAAGAAGTTTTCAACCAACTACCATAAATTGCAAAACGTGGAATACTATTATAATATTTAAATAGTAAATGATGAGTTTATGAATGTATAGAAAAAATAATAATTTAATAATAATATAAATTTTCTACATAAGAGGACAAGCGAAACAAGAGAATTTTGGTAGTTCCATCCATCAATCTTTCCTCTTCATTT